AATTTTGTTATAAGTTCGCTTGCATTTTAGCTAAATTTAATATTTGAAAATAGCCAGTTTTGTAGCTAATAACTGTTTGAAAATATATGTAGCAATCGGCCTTAAAAAGTAGCCGGATCTAGCTACAAAATAGCTGATTCGGCAGCACTGTACGTGTCCGGTCTATGTGTTCTCTGGTTAGTGGTGATATAAAAAGTGAAATGAAACCTTTTGGTTAGTATCGATAGTTTTTTATTGCTATCGATAAATATAAAAATTACATTATGGGTGTCGATATTATTTCTAGTTATTTACCATCGCAAATTAAACCCACACGTTTGATATTGAGAAAAATGGATCTTTCTAAGGTAGCAATTAGTATGATTTAGTCAGCAAAATTTTAATTGTTCTTTTTAGTTATCAAGTGCCCTACGTGATTTGCCTAATAGAGTTTTGAATGCTGCTGTTGAAGAACGTTTGTCACTATTTCAAAACGTTTGCGACATTCTTGATAATCCCGGTAAGTATCCCACATGTGCAACGGGCTTACTACATAATTACATATGTATGTACAGTGGCTCACAGCCAAAATAAATTTAAATGGACTTTTATTTATCAGTCATTCATTATGTATTATTTTGTTCAAAAAAATAATATTTAAAACCAACAAATCCTGGCTTTCCATGTCACAGCTTATTTCGTGCACTTCACTTTTAATGACTTAATGCCCAAAAATTCTTAAATTAGTACTTGGTTTGACTTATTTGGTCAATATTGCATCCCATTCGACGAAAATATATTAAATTTTGACTTATCTGCATATACATGGTATATGGATCGGATTGAATGCAATGTTTGGCGCCCAACAAATAGCGATCTCCATCCCAAAACGAACTATGATCTATGGCGGTGGCAGTGTCTTGGTTGGTCCTGCATGGCGTCGGGAGTTGGAAACTTAGTTTTCATAGTATATATTACTAATACCCATTTTAAAGGAGAATTCGCTCCAAAGTGCCGAAAGCCGAGTCTAAAAGGGCGAACGCGATTAGGGTTAATGGCTCAAAAAATAAATCGGGTATTGTCCAGTCCTGGTTGATCTAGAACTATCCAAATGTGGTCAATCCACTAGGCGAGTGGCGGAAAAGGTCAGTATCCAATAAAAATGACCTCAAAACGGCCCTATGGGAAGAATGGCCAAAAAACTCCAGCGAAGTTACTCGAAAATTGTTAAACTCGTTGGAATCACTCTTAAAAGAGGTGATTAAATAAAAACTACGCCAAACCAATTATTGATTTAAGAATGTTTGGGCAACAAAGTGCACGAAATAAGCTGTGACATGGAGAAAGCCTGTTATTTTAGTGTTCTTTAGCTTTAAATATTATTTTTATAGCCTGAACCCATTAAAAATGGGAAATCAGGGTAAATTGGTTCTGTGAAAAAGTATGTAACGGGCAGATGGAGTCATTGCAGACCCCACAAAGTATATATATTCTTGATCAGCACGACGAGCTGAGTCGATATAGCCTTGTCCGTCCGTCTGTCCGTCCGTATGAGTTTTTTTTCAGCCTAATTTTAACACTTTTAGGCCTGGAGTCTTCTTCGTTGTATCTAAAGTTAATGGATACAAAGATTTTGTAATTTACAGATTTTTGATACCACGCCCTCTTCGCCCCAACGCATTTCAAGTACTAGAGACTTGTGCTTTGGAATGTACATACATTTGAAGATTATGATAATGTTCTGAAAGTTTTCTTTAAGATTGTACGTCTAGAAATTAAATTATTCAACAAATAAATTCTTATAATGTTGCTCACACTGCAGCGCAGCCCAACCGCAGTCGCTGCTTACTGCGCAGTTAGCAGAGCGC